GTAGTCCRAAGCCTAACAAACTTGTTTGCACTAGTATTGTTTTTAAACCATGTCTCAATGTCTGACCTTGGGGCCACGTCAGGGAAATTTGCAGTTTGGGCGTCTCAGAGAAGGCCTCACCAGTGCCTTGTACTCGGACACAGCTCGAACACTGTGTTCAGGTTTGGGCCCCTCAGTGCAAGAAGGGCGTTGAGGTGCTGGAGCGTGGCCAGAGGAGGCAAGGAAGCTGGGGAAGGAGCTGGAGGACAGGCCTAACAAGGAGCAGCTGGGGGAACTCGGGTTGTTTAGTGTGGAGAAGAKYAGGCTCAGGGGAGACCTTACCGCTCTCCACAGCTACCTGCCAGGAGGCTGTGGTGAGGCGGGCATCGCCCTGTTCTCCAGAGTAACAATCGATAGGACAAGAGGAGCTGGCATCAAGTTGCGCCAGGGGAGGTTAAGGTTAGGCCTGAGGAAGAATCCTCAGGTGAATCCAAGGTGAAGCCTYGGGACAGGCCGCCCAGGGAAGTGGAGTCGTCACCATCTCTGGCAGTGCTCAAGAAATGTGTAGATGGAGCGCTTAGGAACGTGGTTTAGCAGCCTTGGTGTTGAGGGGCTTACAGTTGGACTCGATGATCTTGAGGTTTTTTTTCCCACCTAAGTGATTTTATGATCCTGTGATTCTGACAGGACAGGAATTCACAGTTTAACCCTGCCCACCACGCAGAATACAGTAGAAGTAAAACTGGGCAAGGCCACCACAGTTACCGCCTCAGTACAGCACATACTGCTCACTCCAAGTTGTTCATTTTTCTTCAATGTCACAGMATCACAGAATGGTTGAGGTTGGAAGGGAGCTCCAGAGATCATCTAGTCTAATCCCCTGCTCCAGCAGGGACACCCAGAGCACAGGGGTCACTTGCTAGGACAAAGTCTCTTAGGGAGACTTTAATGAAGCACTGAAGGCTAAGCACACTCGGAGAAATGGCATCACAAACCATTCTCCTGTAGGCTTTATATTTGTAAAATTTTACATGTATTTTGCAATAGAAAATGGAGTTACTACCTACATGTAAGTTAATGACAGGAGCTCAGCTCCTGTTTATTCTTACAACCTTAAGAAAGATTTAAGTCAGTTTTCTGTCTCATGGGATGACAAAATCCCACATACAGAATATCGGCGTTACCAGCACATTTTGTTCAAAGAACTTGTTAAGAAAAAAGTTTTAGAAATACTTTTTTTTTTTTTTTTTTTTAATTTCTTGTTTCCGACAGGTTCACACAATGCATTAAGGGGAAAAATCATCTTGCTGATAGGGATTCATTTTAGCCAGCTGTTCATGCCAAAGACTGAGCTTAATCCATACAACCCCACTGTGCATCCCCTACACAGACACAARAGAGGACAGCGACAGACAGAACAACTGCCTGACCCACCAGCCCTGAAAATACCACGATGAAACAATTCCATGGAAAGTGAACCCAAAGGAGCTTTTACTCCTTTCAAGTCTTCACCCAGAACTGTAGTAACTTGGGAATTAATAAGAGACTTCTGGACAGAAGAGAAAGCATCTTTATTATTGTGAAGCYCTGTGAAACAAGTTCTGGCTCTGGAGAGTCCTGCCGAGCCACATCCTCCCCTTCCTCCCTCCCGAGCGGGTGACGCTACCTGTAGGTGTCAGGCTCCTCCTAGGAATGCCCAACGCTCCYGTCAGGCAGCGTAAGGGTTGTGGGCACCTTTTAATCAAAGCAACCTCCCTGCTTTTTTATTTTACTTAAAAACTAAAAAATTACCCAAGTCTGCCCCGTCTTTACAGAGCAAAAGAGGCAGAACTAAATRTTGCAGTACTGTATTCAGCAAGTTGCCACATTCTGTTTTTCTTTCTCAGAAATAATTTAAAACCAGTCTTTGAATTCAAGTATCAGAGAGACTTGGGTGGCCTAAGCAGCCTCCTGCCTCCTCTCTCTCACCCTCACCAGTGATTTTGCTTCACCGCTGCCGTCAGCCTCCTGCGTGGCAATGCACTACAAACAGAACATGACCTACCCCTGCTATAACAAAGGCCAAGGCCCCATCATTGCCTGCTTTCAAAAGAGGGGAGCTGCACAAGTGGTCTTTTCTGTCCCAGGGTCTTGGCATGTCATTATCCTAACTATATATAAAAATTTCACATAGAAAAGGTTGTTGCAAAAATTTGTTAAAAGAGAATCAGGAAAGGGCATTGACTTGCCTGTGATTTTTAATACTGCTCCTTATTTTCAGAAAGTTACTTGACTGCTGAGCTAAAATAAAATTCACGAGAGAAGGGACAGTGGATTAGATTTTAGAAGAGCAGCTCTAGAGGAGCAGGTCTGCTACACAGGGTAAAGCATCTCTATCTGCTGGCTTAAATACTAAATAGGGGACGGCACTAAAATAAATACATAGCATAAAAATAGTATAACCAGTATAAATAATTAACAATGAACCTCGGTGGTTAAATTTTATTCAATACATTTACCAGTAACACACCAAATAGAAGCAAATTTAGCTTAGCTATATCAAGGCCAGCATGATAAAAAAGTGGTATTCGCATCAGAGCAATCCCCATCCCATCMCATCTCAACTACTGTTACAAAATTGTTAGGTAGCATCTCCACTGTAACGACCTGCATTTAAATAAACCTGCAAAGAGCTTGTAGGCAGCTCCACTCATCTCACTGCAAAGTGTTCAAGGTCTCAGGACCGAGAAGTTTATTTGCAACCTCCCGCAGAGATAAAAGAAGCTCCAATCCCGAGGCAGGAGCTRGATGACTCAGATGACAGGGGCAGGACACGCAGGCTGCTGCACTGGCTGCTTTGGAGCAAAATGCAGGTTACACAAAGTTCCCTGCTTCAAGCTTCTTGTACGTGCGAGAGTCAAACCAGCAACAAAAAAAGAATACAGAAATAAAAGCGTAAAATATTGCTTGGAAGAAAGTGTGCATACAAAGCAAGGGCTAGGGAGAGTCGCTGCCCACATGCTGCTCTTAAAAAATAATCAAAGCTTCCTGTTACCAACCAAAAGAGAGGCATTCATCTTTGAAAACAGATAAAGGTTTTACTGAACAGTTCAAGGAAGCCTTCCTGGCTAGTTTGACATTGCTCAGTTGTCTGGGTAAGAAAGGATCCCAGAATATGAAAAATGTTTCACTCAGTGTTTGAAGCAAGAATAAATTCTAAAAATGAAAGGTGGAAAGGCAGAATGTGTCCCGGAGATCCAAACCAGGTACAGGGTTAGACTCAACTCAGGAATTACAGGGTCAGTAAGTGAGCTTGCTGCCTGCCGGGACCCTGGAATTGTAGGTAAGTATAAATATAAGCAAGAATTTAGGACTAGGATTTGGCAGTTTGACGCAGTTCTTAAAAACAAAACAGAAGCTCTTCCTAAATTCTAAAGCTTTTTTAAAAAACAGTTCGTTATAAAAATAATGACCCAGGAAGTGTTTTATGGTAAGAATATTTTATATATATATATTTTACACTTTTAACACTTACAAAAACATTCAAACACACAAAAAAAATTAAATAACTTTGGAAGCAGAACAAGTCTTTCTGCCTACACACATACAACAATTCCGAGCTGTTGGCACAAAAAGTAATCCACATTCATAAAACCCTTACTACTATATCAAACATAAGTTAAGTAAATCATAGGCACTAGTTTATCAAACCCATTTTTCCACACTTCTGCAGTATATCTCTAAACACGGAGCCCCACGATTTCCTGATATCAATATAACTGATAATGCACCAAGGCTTTCTAGTAAACAGACAGTTTCTTTTTTCAGGAAGTTGTTAACATGTTTCAGGGGAATGGGAGAGCAGAGAAAAGGACTTACAGAAGATCAACTTATTCAAGTGATGAATTACCTAAGGAAACACAATAATCTGATGCAGCCATGGTAAAATCCCATTATCTCAATCTAAACCGACTTTCAAAATTTAAATGTTAATTGTTTAAAAGAACCCACCCATTAAAATTTGCCTATTTTCAAAGGCGACTGCAGCATTGCTTTGTAAAACGCCAAAAATCTTAAAATTTGGGCTTTAATGAGAACGGGTGCATTTGATGCAGTCCTTTCTTGTGCGTTWCGGCTGCAGGAGGTCCTGACTAGCTGATCTCCCCTGCCTGGGCCAAGAAGGGGTGCAGGGCTGGCCTAGGGGCAGCASGAGGAGTCTCTAGCTGGGCCCAACCTCCTTGACCTACCGCACAGCTGGCACCCTGAGCACGGGTTCAGGCTGGAGCAGGGAGCCGTGGGTCCATCCGCGTTCGCCTCCGGCTGCTGGGGGAGGCCGAGCTGCCGGTCAGTCCCTTCTCCTCCTCCGGCTTCTTCCAGCTCCATCAGCATCGCGTGGCTGTTTGCCCAGCAGCGGCCCGGAATTCACATGCTGCCACCTCGGAGCTGGTTTTCCTCTGTGGTGGGAACCAAGGCACCCCAGCAGTTGACAGCGCTGACCCCTCTGSGGTTGAAGGCCACCCACCACCCAGTCCCCCCTTTAGGGGCGGTCACTCACTGCACAAGGGACGCCCTTCACCTGCGGCTGCTGCTTCAGCTGTGCACCCAAAATACAGGAGATGCTTCAGACAAAATCCTTTCCCTTCCCTTGACTCCTTCCCGCCCAGTACAACTTCACAAATGTTTGCATGGCACGTGCTAAAACAGAAATGGTTCGAATGCTCATTAGATGAACGACTTCTTCTGACCAGGAGGTGCTAGAATAGGTTAAAAGCCATCAGAGGAATTTAATAATTTGTAAACAGATGTAGCAGGATTCATACTGTTACCAGTAATGTAGGATACACATATGTAAGGCAAAATACATATTTAAACACACTTACATGGGCAATAACTTCTGTAAAAATATTTACAATTTAAAATAAACCAATTTAAGAAATGGATGAAAGTAAAAAAAATAGCATACAGAAAACTCCCTCATACCATGGAACATCACCTAAATGAATATCATTTGGCATCAAGAGTACAACTCATCACCTTGGAATCTGTATGTTACAAGTGCATAGTTGTGTTTCCTTCTCATTAACTATCAGCATTTACAGCTGTGTTCCAGGCTGTGAGCATAGTGGTATCAGAAGCCTATGGTATCAGAACAAATTAATAGCACTACTTGCTCTTTCCTTTTGAAGGAAACCTGCTATAAAAAAAGAGTTTTCCCCAAAGAGCAAGCCATGGGTTAAAAATGTGGCTACAATAGCAAGGCCATCTTTCCTGAGCAAGGAACTGGAAGGTTTACAAAGATTGTACAACTGAGAAGAAGCCCTTTTGGCAACCAAACTCATAAGAGCACGTAAAACTGATGTATCAAACCAACCTAGGAAAGATGCAGTYGCTACTATTGCATTTGTGTGTCTGCTACATTCAAACCTTCACTGATACAAAAGCCATGACTACTATTTACTGTTCTGCTTCATCCTCCTTCCGAAGGATGTACGTACCACTTTCCCCAACAAGCATCTCATACAACTGTTAAAGCCAATGTGTCACTAGCACTGTAGCAGTCTGCAATCAGAAGAGTCGCTCTGATTAACACAGTCTCGTTACTGCAATTGTACATATTCACCAATCTCTGCYGAATTAAAACAGGCTGAACTTTTGGATGTGTTAAGTTGGCTGTTATACTTGCTGCTTTTCAAGATGGGCATTTCTTTGGCATTCGTTAGGTGTTTGCCCAGACATTGGCCACTGTCATAAATGCTCAAATTGATACACTCTTAGCAAGCAAGGAAAAAAATCCAACAGAACTGAGAGCCATTTCATGTAAAAGCGATTGTATGAACACCAAACATCTGATGTTAGATGTCATTAAAGTGCTGCTTTATAATCTCTGYCAGTTTGTGCTAATTAGAGACAGAGAGGTCTGGGATTTTTACAAACCCCCAAAGTCACGTGTGAACAGTCTGTAGAATCAAGCTGTCTTTGAGCCCGGGGAGGAAGCATCCAGGAGCACTGGGACGTTGCAGTTCAGTAGCAGCCATCTTTCCAACTCTCATCTTTCACGTTGCCATAGGTTTTGGGAGCAGGCAATGATCTAAAACAAAACGAGACTTCAGTTTCAGGTGCAAATGCTCAAGTCTGCAGACCCTGCATTACTAAACTGTGTGCCTAACCCTGCCCAAAGATAGYTGTCTATGTTTACCAAGTGAAACTAAGGTTTGTTGTGATCAAGACAACTACAGCTCACTAGCACTGAGAATTTTACGTCAGAAGCAGCTGCTTTTTGTTGCACTACGGTTCAGATTGGGACACGGGCAAGGCGGTCAATATTGAGACAGCTGTGTGTTACTGCCCTGCATGATGCTCCTTACAGGACACGACTTCCCCATCTTGTTATGCCCGTTCTGTCCATGGTGAATGCGAGGCCACCATTCTCCCTTTCATCCATGSGATCTGTACTCCCAGGTGGCTGCTTCCCCACTCTTCCTTCCTTGGATGACTGCTGGCTTTTGTGGGACACCTTCAGGGAGCAGCCTACGCTAGCAAAGCCTCCCCCAGCATTAGCAGCATGTACTCGGAATTCATGCACTGCTTCTTKCTGATTCTCCCAAAGACAGACCGTGTGGTCTTTAATACTCAGTGTCTTGAGCCTGTTCTCCAGGACACTGACATGAAGCAGCTTCTACCTCTGGATGCTTGCACAGGTGGTGCTCGAGTTGAAAATCCCATTTTGCCTWTGATATTCCTGTCCTCACTTCCATGTCAAGTTTAAAAAATGCTACGGATACCTCCTCTATCCTTAATATGTCTTCTTAAAATTTCTAGCTGCAGAGGGAAAGAAACTGTGGCGGGTTATAAAGAACGCTTAAATAATTCTTACTACCATACATGATTCTCAGTGGTATAAATGAGTTTTGCCAGCTACACTTCCAATCTACGTTAGAAACGTGAGTGCATATTTCACGTGGCAGCCTTAACTTCTATTTTTTGTGTTCCCCCCCCCCTCTAAAGAGCCGCGCGCCGGCGCAGCGGCGTCGGAAGCGGCAGCTCGGAGCCGGGGACGCACCTGCGAAGAGGCTGTGCAAGTTTGCTGCGAGGCACTGGGATGCCCCCGGCGGCGGCGGGGGCGCTGGGTCTGGGCAGGCCGCTCCTCATGGGCGCCGCGGCGGGCGCGCGGGCGCCTGCGGCCGGTGCCGGCGCCGCGGGCTGCGCGGCGCCCTCGAACGCCTTCAGCGGCTGCCGCAGGGCCAGCGGCGACGGAGCCGCCGGCGGGCGGAACTTGCTCGGAGACGGGACTGCAAGGCAAGAGRCGGCCGTTACTTCCCATCCACGGGCACAGCGGGCGGCGCGGAAGCCCCAGGTGGTTTGACCGTTCCCCTCAAGCCATGTGGGATGTACAATGGGATACAGGCAGTCAAGCAGCAATGAGAAACAGGAATTCAGATGTCCTCTTTGTTGTCATTATYGTAACTCTAACACCCCCACCTGTCAACCAGGAGCATTTATGGGGTTTATAAGTAAAGCTCTAATCATTACATGAGGCCAATAAGTCAAAGRGAGGTGCACATGTCTTTTGAGGAGAAATTTATCTTGTTAAGACACCTGTGAGGTGAATTCCCACTCCTGAGAACACAACCTTCAAGGATAAAGAATGTGGCACACTAGAATTCTGTAAGTATTAAAGTCAAATTGCACATCAGCCTTCAATGATGAAACTGTTGCGAACAGGGCATTTTTACGTTTCTCTTATGAATTTCTTGTTAATCAATCCCTTGAATTATAATTCACCTAAGATTGTGATCAAGTTCAGGAACTCTTTATCATCTAAAGAAGGGATAAAACAAAAACAAAACAAAAAAACAGGGCTAGCCAACCCCCAAAGTGTTGAGATACAGCAGCAAATTTCCGACCAACAATTTACTATCTTCCTCTTATGAAGATTATCAGAATTATCAGTATCACTAATGCCCAATTTAAACATTTCATAGCAGAGATAGTTAGAAAGATGCAGGCCTTTAACAAGCCCTTTCTGGGAGAGCCTGTATGCCGGGGAAATTCATGAGTTTAGTCTTCCTACACAGCACACTTAATGCAAAGTGTGCACATAAATGTGCTCTATTATTAGCTTTCATAGAGTACTCATTTTTCTCAATGCTGTAACTGCAATAGCAAGACGTCTTATCATGACCTAAGGATTCACTTTGGAGTTTTCTTAGAGCTAGCAATAAGCAGCAAAATTGATCTTCAGGKCAAGGTACCAGCAAAAAGAACATACATGTGTCTTAAAGTAAAGCAAAAGCTCAAGCACATTTCTTAAGGAGTAACAAATATTTCAAAATGCACATAACATATCACTAACAATAAACAAATCCATCTTCTTAGTACTTGAATAGAATGTCACCAGCTTTTTAAACTGACTGCGGGATGATTCAGTAGCAGCTGACACTGGCAGTCAGTTCAACCAGGAAAACACAAAAATSAGGTTTACATTGAGTGACCCTGCAGGAACTACTACTATTTACTATTACTTCCTCTACAGATTCAGCTCATTCACACAGCCACCCAAGCCGAACCCTCTGGCAGATGCTGTCACAAGAAGGATGGTCCTTCACAGAGCTTTAACCAGCATTTTACAAGGTAGATGCGGTAACCATGAGCAAACAGCAATGACAGAAACGCAACATCCCAACGCGGCGCAGGGGACGTGGCAGTTTTGGGGCTGTATTTGGAGGTCATTGCTGACGGGGGATGTGCAGGCAGCTGAACCCCGAGGGACTCGCTGCCTTTCCAAGAGGGCCCTTGCCAGCGAAGCAGCAGCAGCACCAAGCTCAGGCGAAGCCGCTCGCGGGCACGGCGCACAGCACGGGCGATGGAGATTCAGCAGGACGTGGGAAGACAGGTGGGAAGTGGCGGGGAGGAAAAACAAAAGCCCTTAAAATAAAAAGCTCGGGGACCAGCAAGAGGAGGGATTAAGGAAAGCATTAATAGCAGAAYGACTGGACAAGAACAGCAGCCAAGTCCTGCCAGGATGCAGGGTGCTGGGAGGCTGTGGAAGCWGGGCCCTGCCTCAGCCCTGCTGCAGGCTCATCCGTGCAGCCGACGGCTGCGGCTCGGACACAGGGAGCTCTCATCCCACCACCTTTCCTGACAGCACCTGCTGGAACACACACTGGGCTAGCAGAGCAAGGCTGGTGCATGGAAACTGCAGCTATGGGCCTGCTAAGGCCTAGTGCACTTAGAGACATGGCAGAGAGAAGGTTTCACGCATAGAACATAATTAACCACAGAACTACGGAGGTCTTGTCTCTTTCCAGTGCAAGTACTCAGCAAATCAGGCCTTTCTTCAGTTTTCCCTTCACCATATTTTACCATATTTCCAACTCGAACTATCAGTTCATAACAGGTTTCCTGTCAACACGCCGTTGCAGATGTTGGAGCGCTGCATTCATTCTTTGATATAAAAGGAGGAATTGTCTCCTAACGTGCTGTGGTTGCCAAGGCTGTTGCATGATGCAATTGCTGGCAGACGGCCTCGCAATTCTGTCCTACACGAGRAACTCTGTCCAAGAACTGTTTTGGATACTGAATACGAGTCAGTTTGGGTTTTGGCTTAATAAGAGTCATTAGATTCTTAATAAGAGTCACTAACACAATTTAACACATAAGATAGGATCACAAGAAATGAGGAATTGCCTTAGTCAAAGCCTATCCAATACTCCATCCCAATGTGCACTATTGAACTGATATGTTTAATAAAAGCCTGGAGCGCTTGTGTTTAACAAAATTAAACAACTCCACCTCCTTAGAAACTGAATTAGAGCAAGGCATAATTAATATCCCTGTCCATAATACAGGCACGTGCCAGGGTGCAGTGGTGACATTTAGGTTTTCCGCCCTCTCCGAACACTGTCCTTGACCGTAGGCAGGGCGATAATCCCCCAACAAAGCAGGATGCCAGAGAAGATACGGGTGCCAGGATCACATCCCAAAGCCAGGGGGACTTGGCTGCCTCTCCAAAAGCAGAGCCGACTTCGATGTGTTTTTTATATCATACCCATCCTTATGGGATGAATCAGATGGATAGGAAAGAAGAGATGAGATCAAACAACAGGAGTAAATGAGCTGCTCTGTTATCTGAMTGATGCTACATAAGACTCAACAAATCAGTTACAGAGGTAGGGAATTATTTATGCTATTTGAATGTACGTTTGAGAGAAGATGATAAAAATTGCCCAAGTCTCTGCGTTAAGATGCTAAACTATGGAATAAACAGCACTTTAAGGAACTAGAAGCAATTCTGTTCAGTCATTTACCCTTTTGAAACAAAAGTTGTTTTTCATTAAAAAAAAGTAAAAATCAAGACACCAAGGGCTATGAAAGAGCAAATAACTGGAAGACACACGTGGGGTTCTCGTTCACAGGGAGCAGCGAGTGCACCCAGAAACAGGAACGTGTAGCTGGCACTGCACCACACTGTTCATACTCCTCTGGGCTTTAGTAACATTCTACATATAATATAAACTCAAAGACAAGTTCATTTTTAAAAATGCAGGTTAAAAGCTCTGGGCTAGACCACTGAGCTCATAAGTTTTCTAAACATTCAGATGAAGGCAAGAGCATTTAGAAAGCAGCACGGGAAGCTCTGGGCAGGAGTAGAGAGGCGGGTCTGGCCCAGAGGAGAACACTGAGACACCTTTTCTCCAGTGGCCAAGAAATTTCTGAAGACTGTCCGAGACTTCTGCTTAGCCCTGGGCAGTTGTCTCAAAGTCACTGTATGTCACTGCTTCAGGAGAAGACAGGATAGAGCTTCCCATGCAGCATGGAGTTGGCTGAGGTTAGCACTGTTACACCACTGAGCAGCGCATGCATCTTGTGAGCCACTCGCAGTATCTGCATGAAGGCTTTTGGTAATCCCCTATTTATAGCTTAAAAATTAGTTGGAAGTGAAATATGATCCTACAAGTGAGATCACCCTGATTTTAGTAGACAACAGGACTGTTGTCTACTGCTGTGTTGTGTAATTGCATACACAAAACCAAAACATGAACCTGCTTTTTGTTGGTAGTGAAACAGAGGTCATATATCATATATGAGGCTGCTAGAACTTAATTTTAAAAAATCAGTTAAAATTTAATTGGATTACAGATTATTTAATTTTCCTCTCAAAAGGAAATGAACTTTAGCCATTGGTCACCTGGAATATTATGTATCATAATCTCCAATTCTTTGACAAAAAAAAWTTATATTATACTGTGTCTTAGAGAGAAACTTCCAGATCTGATAGGAAAGAAAGAACACAAACACATGCAAGTGTTTGCAAAACACAAGCTGATGATCTGGGCTAGTCTCTTCAAGGATAATCTTTTTTTGTGAGCAAGAAATTTGGGGGTTGTTTTACAAACTACAGCTTACAATCAAAAATATTCCTACCCAAATACAGCCTTAATGAATATGCGAGACTTCAGGGTGTTCATTTGATTTCATATCAGTCTCAGGCTTAATACCTTGTTCTATCTTTTTAAAACTTATGCAAGGCTATGTTCTAATATTTATATAAAAGTTATACTTTGATACAGCGAGGTCTACACGGTTCATCTCTACACGCAACAATGTCTTCATTAACCGAGGATATGTGAGATTTAACACAGGTGAACAGTTATCTGAGACTTGCTGGAGCTTGATAAGAGGTCGTAAGTTAATTACCTCCTTTTGTAGATGGAGTTTGAAGAAACTGTTTGGTTTTGAAGGCAGCGCGAGGCAAATTTTTCTGCCTTTGCAGAGCTGTTGAAAGACAAGAAGTGTTATATTTGTCTAAAAAGATAAGAAAACTGAATTTACTGGGAATTTCAGAATTGCATCTGTTTGAGAAAGCACCAAGGAACAACGCAAGTAAAACAACAGTTTTCAGAGCTCTTATGATTCTGAAAGAGAAGTTGTTTCCTTTTTAAATGCTGCTTGCTCTAAATGGCAGAATTACAAAAGGAGCGTGTCAGAAGTTGTGCAGTGCAAAATGTGCAGGTTCTGTAAGAGTAAGGAAGCTTCTTGCAGGGCAAAAAACCCAGAAGGGCAAAAAAAAATTAATACACCAAAGTGAGAACAAGCCACCCAGCAAACATGCTGCAGCAACATGAACGCAAGGTTAGATAAAAGATGAAAACYAAGCTGTCAGATTTGACCTACCGAGACTAAACCCTAGTTTAAAGCCATTGTTTTCAAACAATATTCTAAYGCTGTACGAGATCTTGGTCTAAATGGGATCACTATATAAAAAGAAGCTGTGTTTTTCAGTAATGCAAACTTGGCCATTTTAAGTGTCTGTGCTTTTTCCTGAGATGTATAGAASAGAACTCAAATTTGCAAAGAAAAGACACTAACCCCAAGATCAYCAGCTGCCAGCACKGATGGTGYGCCCAAAACCATKGGTTTTGTTTTGTTTTTAATGGTTCCTCTGCCTTGCCTCCTTTATAGCAACGCTGAATGACTGATACTGCTTTGAAAGGACTTTACTGCCCAGAGGCTTCCCAGAGGGAAGCCGGCATTCCGAGAGCCGCGGAAACTTGGCAAAGAGAGGATTACCTATGGCCAGAAGGAATGCACGGCCTCAGCGTATTCCCGCTGCCGCGCGTGCAAGGCGGCAGGAAGGAGGACGCCAGTGCAGTAGAGCTTGGCCTGCTCGGCGCCTGGTGAAACGGCTGCACCCCCAAGCACCGAGCGGACAGCAGCACAAACAGGGCAGCGCCAGGCAGGCCCGGGGCTGTGCTGAGAGGGAGGAGAGACGGGAGCAGAGCTGGGCCTAACATCTTCTTCCTCAGTACGGAAGCCTCACAAACTGCTGCGTATCCTGACAAAGAAGGTGGGAGGAGGAGTAATTAGATATTAGTTAATCCTGTTTTCTGAGTTTGATATCTTGCCACTGTGATTCCCATCCTTCAGTCGGTTCAAAATTCGCAGAAATTGCATTGTGTTTTACCTTCATCCTGCAAACATGACTAGGTCCATTAATTCCAACCCTAATACCTAACTCAACTATTTTTATTAAGCAGCAAAAAGGAAATAAAGCATTTATAAACATGATACAGTGTTGCCTGAGGCCCATTAAAACCAAAAAATATTCTTTCTACCAACAGGCCCGTGCTGGCAACAAAAGCATGAGGCAATATGCAGTTCTTACTCAGCTTCTGGCATGTGGTCTTGCTATACACATCTTTCTAAGCAGCAACCTGTTTGACAAGAGCACAATTCCCAAGCAAGCCTTCCCCAAGGAATCCAGCGAAGCCAGAGGGTTTCTGCCCACAAGTATCCCGCAATGCCATTTTTACTGAGGCTGTGTTCTTGCTTTACCGCATAAAATCCAAACCAGCTTCTTCCTTCATATTTATGGCCATGAATTTAGATTGCTCCACTTCATTCACTTGGATTTAAATATTCTACTGTATATGGCAGTAAGTTTCTTCRCCAACAGTGTGAATAATGGTGGGAAGTCAGAGAACTGGAATGATGTGGAAATGATTTAGAAAATATATGATCTCATTCTTGCCTCTCTATGGAGAGCAGAGAAATCCTTGATGGCTCCCTAGCTCTGCTTCCCACCTTATGGAAGGGGGAAGCACAGGAAGACCTGCCTCAAACAGCACATGCTTCAAGTACAAACTGAATAAATATAACTATATTTATTCTGTGTCAGCCAARCTCAGGTGCTTGCTTTGCTCAAACAAACCCTTCGTGTTTTGCTTTGCACATGCTAAGCAGCTCTCCTGGCAAAGAGCCTGTCAGCCCGAGCAATCCACAGCTTGCCTTTCTGACCCAGCTTGGCCTCAGCATGTCACATCCCTGTGCTAGGTAAGTACCAAAGTATTAAAAACTCCATCCCCTGCAACGCATGTAGCACCTTTGTGGAAAGCACAACCCCTACAGCTTCATACCTCCTGTGTGGCATAGGACCTATGTGGAACAGTCCTCCCACAGAAGAAGCACTTGGAAGTTTAGAACAAAGATACCTATTCCTTGGAGAACACAAGTCAACTATTACTGTATCTTCCAAACCTTTAAGGTGGTACTTATGTAGTACCACCACAAGGTATGCAAAAAATCCTTTTTTTTTTTTTTACATCAAAATTCTGTTCTGAATAGCAGCATGGAGAACCAGAGATTCATTAAAAGCTTAATTGTACAAGTAATATGTAATTCACTCTTTTTTAAGAAGATACTTACTATGAACAGTTACGATTTCTGGGAGAATATTTGTGGTGGACTGTATAGCAAATTAAACCATTTAAAAAGAGAAATTGGAATTTTAAAAGCCAAATTACAGCTTAAAATTTAATGCTACATTTTCACATTTTAGTTATACGTCTAAGCTTCATCATATTTCATAATGTTCATAATACTTCATAATATTTAAAATATTTTCCCTCTACTCTTCAAGCAAACATGTACAATTTGCCTGTGTAGCCGTAAGAGGAGTTGCCTGTTCAGAAACTTACTGGATTCCTAACTCATTTTTGAGTGCCAGCACCCATAGCAAGTCCAGGATCGCAGCCACAGCAAGTGTGCAAGGAAATCACGAGCAGCAGGTCTTGGCCCGGGAGAGGAGCAGTGCCCTGGGGTGGCAAGCCRGCATCCTTGCAAAGGGAAGCTCATGCAAAACCAGCAGCTGTGGGGAGGAAGCTCTGAACTCTGAGCGTCATTGCCAAAGTAAAACAAAAAGCTGCCGCAGCTTCACAGCGCTTAGTGCAGGATGACAAAATATAAAACCAATGAAACAAAAAGTGTACAATATGAGACAGAATTCTAGAAAGTTTTATACAATGTACAGTTTGGCTTTTTTTCATCCAGACTAAGCCAAGATACTTACTCGTTGACTTGATACACAAACCGTTTTACGATTGTCAATAGCAAGACTCTGACAAACATCTGTAAGAGCAGGGAAACTGTAAAAGCTAGAAATCTGGGCTGTAWTAAGGATATTTAACTTACATTTAAATGTAAGTTGGTCTACAGTAGTTCACATTTGGGGGAAAAATATCCCCTAAGAGGTAAACAAATTTACCTGACAATTTTCATGATTTTAATTAAAAATTATATATGTATATACACCAGTCACATTTCATTGGCTCCATCAGTGAAGTAACTCACTAAACATTCAACATTCAGACTTCTGCTGCCTGACCTTACTGTGAAATTTCACTATGAATTTACTGCTAAAGTTGGAAATAGCCTTCTGGCCATGTAAAATGCACTCCAGACTCTTTCCTACCAGTTCTCAATTTTAAAATCCCAAATAAAATTCCTGTGGATTTTTAGAAAATATTCTTGTTTCCTTGTCTTTCCCATCAATTTAATAATTCTTCCCATCACAGAAGAAGTCGGAGAGCTGCTACCCTAGTAGAAGACAGCCCTGGATATGCACTACATGCACACTTSATTATAAATCCCCGCTTTGGAGCATCCATGAAAAGTGGTAGAAAGGGGCAGGGTGAAATGCTGCTGGGGCAGCCCATATGACCCACTGCTCACACTGGMTTCTCTGGCTACAGCATCACACACCAGAGTCTGATGGTCCACAGGACCCTGAAATCCAGTTTAAGGAACTACAAAGACAGAAATCTCATACTTTTTACAATGGCTGATATTCTTTATTTTGCTTTTAACTATTTTTTTCTATCTGTATTTTCAACTGTATCTTTAGTTGCATTAACACACATTTTTAAGACTATGAAGCAATAACAACTAGGCATGCCAATATGTCTTTACTGATCAATGGGTAAAAAAAATCAGTTTCATTTGCAAATATTATTTTGCATTCCCTGTCAAATATTTGGAAAATTGATTTTTTTTAATCTTAATACTTTCCTAGTTCAAGGCGCTACATACAGTAATCTCATAATGTGGTCCTCCGCTGAAAATTTTAAGTTTAAGATTATATCTGAATTTTTGTTTTAAAACAAAAAACACTTTATGAATTGTCAATACTGATGTACAAAGAAGCACTGAATATTTGAGCTTCATTTGCCCTTTTTTTTTTAAATAAGGTGAGGTGGCTGTTTTCAGAAAAACSTGTAAGATTAGCAACATGCTAATGTTATCAGTTCACTGCTGGACAAATAAGCAGCCACTAACCCAGCACTGGTATCATTTGTTTTACACAAACATTTACTGATACAGACACTTGGGGAAAAAAAAGCCTGTATCTGAATGCGCAACTTCCAGGTACGAAACAAAGGAAGAGAAGGCAAACAAGAGTTGGACTTGCACGAATGAKTTCAGATAAGCTTTCTCTACATAAAAACAAACCCTAAAAAGCAGAAAGGTTCTATAGCCTGGCATGAGATTTCATCAGTAAAAAGCATTAGACCTTCTGCAAACTACAGAAAATAGGAGAATAAATGGCTTCTGAAATGTTTAACTTCAGTGTATTTATGCTCTGCATGGTGCTTTTACATGTGCTTTTAGGAAATAACTCATGATACTTTTGTAAGAGAACAGACATACTTCCACATACTCAAACCCTGAGTTTTCTATCCAGTAAGTAGATTTTCAAGATCAGCATCTCCAGCATGGCATGGTGGTTTTTTTTGCCATAAAACTGGAGAAGAGCTCAGTAGCACCACTTAATTCTGAAATCCATAACGAGTGCCACGGGAGGTACTTACTGGCTGAGGCTTGAGGTTGAATGCGAGGTATCCCTCCATTTGGCACTTGGAAGTTTGAGTCACTTCTGCTGTTTTTCACAGACTCAGCTTGGATGTTGGATGTCCTGGATAGGTTTGGAAGACTACGCCTTAGTTTTTCTGGATAAAACAACACAGAACTATCACAAAATGTAATTTGATTCAAGAGACGTTCACACAGTTCAACATGCAAAAGCTCAATATGTGACACCAAGTTGGCTATATAAATCTACACTGCACTGGGAAGTGTATCTTTTTACATTAATTCAAGATAATCTGGGCTGTAGAGTTCTAWATTATTTTCCTATATAAAATATTTAATAAAGCAAGAATGTACAATTTTCATCTGTGGTAAAAAAAGTCAAGCATACAGTGCTTTGCAAATGAATTTCTAGATTATTAGATGACCTACATCATATCTAGATTTTGTTTCTCTTTTATACTCGTTATGTAAACTGAATAGGCAAGCATAATATGCAGTTTTGCACACAAAGTCTTTACCTAGAAAGTAATTTAAAATATAGAACACATGCTTGAARATAAAAAATTAAATAGACAATAGTTATCTGAATTAGTTTTTAGGAATGCCCAAACCCAGGGTCAGCATATGTCAGAACAAAGAGCAGGCACCCATCTGGGAAGAACCTCTGGGAGAGTATTCCCTAATGAAAGCAGCAGCCAGTTGCACTTTATATTTCACGTATGACTTGGTCACCTATTCAGCTAATAGTGGCTTTCTAAGGAGCTTCTAACCTTTGTACCATTGCTCGCAGAATATAAAAAGGCACCATTGAATTTCTGCCAAGCCAAATGATATTGGGTGCATCTCCAGCCCAGGGAGAACTGGGCTGCTGACAGATGCTGAACAGGAGAGGGGAGCAGATGGTTTGTCAGGGTGAGTGGTCAACCTGATGCAGAAGAGGGGCACAGGGAAGAAGCACTCCTATGTGCAAGCACTGAAGATGGAAATAAAAGATTCTTCCTAGGCCGAATATTCCTGCATGGGTACTTTCTTCATGCAGCTGGTAGTTTGAATCGATTGGTATCACATTTGCTAGTGTCTGGAACATCCATATTTCCCTCTATCCATTCCAGTGCAAAAAGAAACAAAGAATACCCACCCACATCCAAAACAAGCCAAAAATAAAACCCGCCCTCAGACCACCACCTCACTGGCTGTTGGTGCCTCAGCGCTTTGAGTATACAAGCAATACCCAGCTGTGCAAAACCACTGCAAGAGGACCCCTTAAAGCATCTCAGAAACACGTGATCACAAACTATGTTTGGGTCCCTCTGTTCTGTGGGACACCAGGCTTTCTTATTTCTGGGACATTATACAACTACTTTAATACTTGTGTAATCAATTTGAGACGGGCTTTTTACCTTCACTTTTGACACTGCTAGTCTGTAAATCTGTAGGGTGGCCTTGAAGCGAGAGACGAGGCTGCTGTAAACGGCTAATCATGGGCTGGGGAGATACTCTGCTGTACTCTATGCTTCGAGCAGGCGACCGGGAACGAGGCGAATTCCTCGGGGACTGTTTTGGGGAGGGCCAGGGAGAGCTGCGAGGCGAAGGCGAGAACCTGCTGACAGCGGGATGCACTGTGGGGTGCGCGCCGTCGTCCTCATCTTCGAGGCTCTGCGCGTCGAGCTCCTGGTCGCTGAAGGTGCCGCGGCGGGTGGAGTGGCAGGAGGAGCCCGAGCTGCGGCGCGAGGCGCTCGCCGCGTACTCCTGCCGGAGGCCTGGCGCACAAGCACAGACACCGCTCACCCGCTGCTCCCAGCCCCACACAGCTCCCCCAGACGCCTGCCCAGCTCCTCAGCTCGCCTCTGCCTCCTTCCGAGTTCTCCACTTATAGGCCCTAAATTTATCCCAGATTAATACCCAGGAAAGTTATCTGCTATCTGTTATTCTCTGTTCACAGGCCAGCTCGTTCCTTTTCCTGCCATGGCAATTAGGACAGTTGTGTTGTTTACTTGGCCCTCCCTTCTCCGATCCCCAGAACTCAGAGCACAGGCCACATCTTCAATTTGACATCACGTATCACCTTCTAACAACATAAACATAACCATGTAGCTTTTTTTTTTTTTTTTTTTTTTTTTGGTTATCTACCCCTAGAGACACTACAATTCAACTATATAACTGAAAGGACAATTTTGGAAGGGCTCAAAGATGGACAGAGACTCAACTAAATCTAAATCAAGAGAGACTTCTGCTCTCCACCCTATTGACTTTACATTTTGATGATTAAATCCTGGTGTAAGTATTGATGTTAATAAGTCTGGATTACACCAGAGAAACACCCATGCCCCGTGAAGACCACTGATAATATCCCTGTCAAACCACCATCCTTTTAGCATACACTAACTACATGGGTTAAGTTCCCACTCTCCCCRGCATTTCTGTTGTTCCTTGTTACCAGGGAACACTTCCACATGGCAACTTCCTCTCCTCAAGGGAATGGTATAAGAACTACCAACACTCCTTGTACCATTCCTCTCCRTGTTACTGCTCAGAAGGGTGACAGAACACTGTATCAGTACAACAGATGTTGTACAGTACAACAAAATGTTGTACTGATGTGACAAGAATGCTGTGCCCAACAGATGCACAAGGAATCTYTCACCATTCACCTTTCCTGTTCTCAACTTTTCACTAAGATAGGAACAGACTATTTAATAAAGGGCATTACAAAATATGGCTTTTCCTCATCCTTTAAGCCAATGCCTGTCTTTCTGGAATGTTACCAATTTGATCCTCGTTCCCTGGCCTCCACACCAGCTTTCTCCAGGGGAGCTCTGCAAGTCTCCCAGGTAGCACCTGACTTCTTAGCTCTCATTAGACCCTTAATGCATCATTCTTCCCTCATTGGTTAAAGGAATCTTCTAGGCTTTCTTCTGCTGCTTAGTTCTCAAACCTAGCAACATTTACGTATCAGTCCTATTCCAAAAGGACTCCCCATTCACTTCTCAAGCCTTTGCAAGATTGATTTGCCCCATATRCTGGAAGCACACACAAGTACCACTACATCCTTTTGGGCTGGTGGAGGGTTATCTAAGGATACAACTCATCACCCATTGACAGATGAAGGATATCGCAGTTTGGATCGATTGCCCCGCTCCATTTGATGCAGAGCACTTACTTTCTTCCTGCATTCGTGCTAAAATTTGCACATCTGTAACATCATTTAGCTTGTAATTTGATCCAATAGAGTCTTCATCCATTTCTGAAGCACTTAACTCACTGTCCAGAGAAGACTGTGGACTTAGTGGAGGGTTTCTATCTGCTGARCTTTTAAGATGACCTAAAGAAAGAAAATAAAATAACAGAATAATGTTTAGACACCAAGGCTGTCAGTCAATTGATCGCAAACTTAAGCTGAAAATACCACTTACAGTAAACAGAGTTTAGTCATTATCCTCTAAAAATGAATAAAGTCATTGTTACAATGGCAGAAGAAATTAATTACATATAATCTGGTTCACATGCACCAAGTTTCAACTGCTATGAGTACTGCACAGCTCTCGCAGAAAGAACAACCACATACCTACTTGCTCATGCTTTTGTTCTCTGCACTTCCTAAACTTCATTTTGAATATTTATGTAATATTTATGCGTTTTTGTCAGGAAGAGGAGGCCACACACACACTTACCTGAGGTACCAGGAGGTATGAACTGTTTCACCAACACAGATTTCACTGGTGTGGAGGAGGGAGAGTTGAAGCCACTGCTGTAGGGGCTACTCGTATTTGGGCTGTAGGAGCCTGCGTAGCTGACTGCACTGAAAGGGTTACTGTACAAGCTCTGTCTCTTGAGAACTGCATGAAAGAGGAGAGTGACAAGTTACACTACAGAAACCAGTGGAAAAAAACAAGCAYAATACTATAAAATATTTTAATTACTAGACAAGTCAAGTAGGATGCGTCAGTTGCTGTGTAGCTTAGTCTTACACACAATCTTACTGTGAAAGGAGTGGGAGAAAAGAGCAAGACAAAAGGATGACAATTATTTTCCCAGTAAAAAATCAGATCCCAAAATTAAATGCATTACTATGCTCAAGCTCATTTCTTCCACTCAGAATGTACAACAAAGCACCTAAGGAGGTTCTAGAAAAAAAATGCAGAAAAACTAAACTTTTAAAGGGAACAGTGCCATGCTCCCAGTACCGAGAAAAGGGCTGCAATTAGTGCAGTAATAATTAGGCCAGTGATATGGGTGGACTTGAACATGGTGTTGTGCTCTTGTACCAGCTTGGTACCAAGATATCTACTAAAAAGCCTTTTATTCAGTATAAGGTTTTTTTTTTTTTTTTTTTTTTTTTTCTTTTTTAATGTTACTATCAACCAAAAGAGACTGTAGCTGCACAAAATGCTGCTTTCAGCAGCAAAGCCTCTTACAGCTCCTCCTGCCACCCCACTTGGTCCTTGGTCACAACCTCCTCAGCTCTTACCCGAGACACTTGTGGCATTGCCCTCCTAGACAGACTAATGATGTGATTTTAATGTAAAAATATCTAGAAAATTTTTAAATGAGCTTTTCCTTTTTACTATTACCTCAAAAAACATTGTATTAACACAACTGAACTGTCAGTGGATTGCAGCACAGAGGCAGAAGAAGTTCTGCTAACAGAGTCTTCCAGAACTTCAGAATACGAGTGTTCTTACAGTAACTAAAGATATGGTTTCTCTGAGGGATATCAGACAGTCTGAGTACATAGGGCGGCCAGCCTATGACCACTGTCATATTAAAAAAAAAATAGTTATACAAGATGAAACCGCTAATATAAAATTACACCTTAGCTCTCAAAATACTTGAGGGGAGAGTTACTGATCAKTTTTTTTTCCATCTCATTTAATATTTTTTATAATATTCAGAACCAATATGCAGTAAACACATTCAGACAATTTGCAAAGAAGTCTTAACTAGCTCTTTTGCTCTAGAAAAGAGAAATAGAAAGAGCTGTGYGTAGAAAAATCACGCTCAAGTAATTTCTTAGATTCATTTCATAAATCAAAACCATTTTTCAGACTCTGGTAATCTGATATTTGCTGTTCTTACAATTAAGAGACTAATTTATTTTGGCAGTTTCTGTAGTAATTCAAACCAACTATTAGCAAAGTTGATCACAGAGGCCAAAGCTAGCTAAAGAATGTTTGGTTTTGTACAAGCTCGATGTTTGTTCCAGAAATCATACTCACACAGCATGGAAAATATGACAGTTCTTATTACACATACGGCCACATAGTTCTGCAATGTGCTGTGCTGATCATGCATTTGATATCACATATTTAAATAACAACAGTCTACTGCCCCACAGTTAAAACTGCAGTATGACCCAAACTGCTCTTTTCTCCTTCCACTTCTTGACCATGCAACCATGTCTTCATAAAGCAGCTCCTCCAGCAACGCTGTCTCTAGGCTGCCACATAGCTCTGTTCCTGCAGGTTCTTTTGTGGAGTGCTCTAACCAGTAAAATCCTCATACCATTTTAGACTGCCATGTCATGATGGTGCTGCTTGGTTGGTGGGATGGTGATGAAAAAGGGGGTATCTTTTAAGACAGAAAAAAATGAATCTGGAATGTGATGTCACCACTTGGGTCAGAAAAAGAAGAGAAACAGATTGGAGGAGAGAGACTAGGGGCTGATGAAGAGAAACATCAGTGAGGATTCAGGAGACCAAGAGATCCCTATGAAAAGCCTTACCAACGYAAGCTGGAACTGAAATACAACAAATCAATAAGCTGAGTGACAGCGGTCCCTGACGTGCAACCACAGGGTRTGATATATGGCACAAGACATTCTAGCAGCTGTGCAGTATAGAACAAAGAAAGTGACCAAAGCCCATCCTCCAGAGGAGCCTCTCACTGCCCTATTTCTCTGAATACTCTGCTTGAGTCTGAAGAACTATCTCCTTTTCCATTATAAACCCGCCTTTATTTTCAAATCATACAATCTTCTCCAAACAGCCACATCAACACCCGTTCCATTACCACTAATGCTTTCCCTTACTAGTACAGTAGGTAGGCAGCCATACACTCGCAGACACCACTGCTACAGACAGATTTTCAGGGCTAGGAAAACAAGAGGCAAATCTGTCCTTAACATGAACACTCTCATGTTGACCCATTTCCCAGCTGGAACCTCCCTGTCACTCTGCTCCACTGTGACTAAGCTTTTAAAGATACCATAGGCGGTGCAAGTGACACAGTTACACCTTCTGACCAAGGTGTAACTATGCCAGTGGCACAAAAGCCCAAGATTATGACTCATGGCCCAATGCTTCCTTTTCTTTTATCCACACATCAGCAAAATAAAAGTTCATTTTCTTTGCAAGTCATTAAGAAAAACTTTAGACGGAAATAACTGCTGCTTCTCTCAAGATATTATTCTGAATTCCCCAATTTTATTTCAAAATAGATACACACAACCCAACAGTGCTCATATGCATGAACTCACCTGACATGGTCTGCTCCAGCCTGTGGATCAGGGACTTTTTAGCACTTTCTATGTCAGGACTCGGGTAATCCAACACCTGCCTGCACCAAATTAATGGACTAACAGATTTTTGCACTGGAGTCAGTTTCTTCTTTGGAGATGTGTATAACCTGAAAAAGTGAAAGAAAACGTCTGTGAAGACAAAAATGGGATGTGTGAGAAGCTGTCACATACTACATTATTTCTATTCTTAGTCTCTGTCTACAGTACAAATCCCAAAATATCAGGACAACACAAGTTTTACTTTTAAAATAACTCACTTGGATACAGTGTTGTTCTGACAATGCATAACACCTGCCCAAGCCTTCCTGGCAAGAGCAGAAGCCTATCTTGATAGGCTAGAATACACCAATTCATGTGGCAGAAAAAAAATGCTTTGCTTTTCAGACAGATTAGGTATATGGGCAATTACACTGTGCYACAGGAATGCACAACTTGAAATTAACCTTTCAATCTTCAAGTTACTTTACAATAAAGCAATATGCAACTGTTTCACTAAATGCAAAGATGTAGCAAGTGATAAGCATCATAAGTACCAGCACAAAACTGAACACAAAGTTACAGGCACAGAACAAGTCTAGCATTTTAGTATCCTTGAACAAAACAATGTATTATTTTACTTATAGTTTGTATCCTAGCACCTGATCKCTAGATTTTTCCCTTCGAATGCAGAACAAAAAGACTGTCTTTGTCCGATGGTGCACAGTGGAGCATCAAGAACAAGAAACAAGAGATCCTGCAGACAGGGCAGGCTATGGGAAACAGCGAGGCAATCCTGCACAGTGGGACACGCTGAGGCTGCTGCTGTATTTTGAGGTCAGCTTTCGACGACTGCAGCAACAAGCACCGCATTTCAAGGGCTCCAAAACTGAGCTGAGAAGTTCACTTCCCTCAAAGCAATGGAAAAGGTGTGAAGGCAAAGCCATATCCAATCCCATATCAAATAGAAAATACTTAAGCTTTRGACTGAAAAAAGAAGTTTGGAAACGTAGTTCAACAAAAGACAGCAAGCAGCAAGGCTTACAGCTCTAACGAGCACTTTTGCTTATGTTGAAATGGTTAAGCAAGTGCAGAGTTGTGCGAGGACACCCCTGATGCCCCAGGGGAATGAGGGGTGCCCCCCACATTTTGGTGGTGTGTTATCTGTGTGTCAGCAGCATCAGCACCACACAGGGTATTCACCACGGCTGCAGCATGAGAAGACTAACCCATCACCCTCTAGTTCTTGAGCTCAGTTTATTTCACAAAAATCTTCAAAGGCTTTTTTTTTTTTTTTATATAAAAAAGAAATGCATATATCCTGAATGTAGCATTTCTTATAAAAGGCTCCTAAGAAGCATGTTAAAAAAAAAAAAAAAATCCTCACTCAAAATGCTGATCTGCTTATTCAGCACGTGCCTTTTACCACTCTTCCCTCAAACACCAAAAAGTACTTTGCAAATGCAGGAGAATCTTTTCATTAGCTGATTGCTTTTAAACAAAAGATAATCAGTTTGTGACGGGAGAACTATATCTTTATAAAGCTGATATAGCACATAGACTATGGAAATTTGTGTGATTTTGGGCAATCTCCATCATTAGGTATTTAATTAACRGTACCAACAGAAATTCCTTTCAGCATCAATCTGAGTAAAGAGAAAAGCCAGTTTGGATTTCACTTCCAGAATTCCTGCCTCATCTTTCTCTGCTTATGATATAGTTTATATCTGACTTTGTTACTGTACCCTGAATACTGGAATTCAGACTCGTCCACAGCAGCTTTATCCCATTATCAAAAGAAATAACAGCTGACCTGGCTAAGCGGTGGAAAGGATATTTTCAATAACCACTTACAAGAAAGTGAGATTTAAGTCAGCTATAGCAGACGTATTGAACTCAGGAGAAAGGAAGACTTATTTATATGTAAATATACACACAAAGCACGTTACCTCTCCTAGCAATATCCTCAGCACACCTTATAAATTCTGCTTGCAGAAAAGCTAAGGGCCCACTGCCCATTTAAACCCCTTGCACAGGGCAGGAAGGGTCCATCTCCACAGTTCTTTGTAAACAATTACAGAACTTGCTCTATTTTACGTGATTATCTGCATACAGCTAAGAGCTGTGATGAGCATTTACTGACTTTCTAACACTCAGTGAATTGCCTTTTCAGTCACTTATTTTCCTGTATGCTTCTCTGTGCTGAGGTGTGTTTGCCCTGGACAAAGGAGCCAAAGGCAAGGAGCTAAGTACACYGTGGTGCTCCTGGAGATGCTGACGTGTCCCGCTGTGTCCCGAAGTGCCATGCACCTCAAGTGTTTACAGTAACATCCAGGGCAATGCACGAGAAATAAGAGTGTACGCCCTGGTTTAAGGGTACCCAAACAGGCATATACCAAATAAACCTGCAAAACTAATCTCAAGGGCATCTCCTATTTTAAGCTCTAACACATTCTTTCATTCAATTTAATAGCTGTATTTGTCTCATGTGCAGAGCATGCTGTGAAACTGTGCCAGGCACGTTGCAGATTCTCCCATCTCTTTCCAGCCAATCAGTTTTAACAGCCTTAACTTCACATTTCAAGAGAAGTGACAATTGTAGAACACACATGTTCCACGTAACTCCACAGGCCCATGAAAAACACGTGCACCAGTGTAGTGACACTGGCTCTTGCAAGGCAGGCTCTCGCACACAAGTCCATATACACAYGCTCCCTTATAAAGCAGTGATTTTTATGCTCTGTCTGGCACAGAACAGACAATAAGTTTGAACCAGATGCAAATCTATTTCATTTTTAAAGAGACAATTAAGCAAAACAAGACTGGGACAAGGGGGGAAACTTCTTTCCTTCCTCTCTTCCCAACAGCAGGGAGGGAGAAAGGGCAGGAAGGACACTACAGAAGTAAAATACAGAAATAACATCACAAAGTTAAGTGATTTCTCTGTCAAACTACAGCTTGATTCAAAAGACACAAGTCCTCCTTAACTGAAGGGCTTTCCAGAGCAGACCTATCCCTATTTGTCCTGCTTAGGCATACTATAGGGATATGGCAGTGATAGCAGCACAGCAGCTTGAAGATTGGAGATGATTAATATGACCTCATAAATTTTTAAACACTACTAAACCACTTTCTAAAAACAGGAAATTGAAAATGATTGAGGAAGCTGCCAGCTTATAGTTTGCACCCATATTGCAAAGGCTGACACACAGAAAACTATTCTTCGACTCGCACAGAGTACAAAACACTACAAGGCACTGACATAAGATCAAGAGAAAGAAAACATTAATACAAAAGCCAAGTCCAAGAGCTTTGGTGTATTTTGTATGAGCAGTAAGAGACCTGAGCACTGTGCTTCTGATGCTCCCAGCAATGTTCCCCTCCTTTAGCTGTCATTGCAGACTGTGTCCCAGCAGCACCAATGGAAAGYGCAGGGGCTGCGCTGACCGGTTGTTTTAAGACGACCCAGTACAAGAAGGGCAAAGCTTTGGTGGAAAATCCACTGCTGCCCCAAGCTTGCACACCAGCCTCGGCCTAGCAGGGCAAGCCTAAGCACGACAGAGCGGGACAGGGCAGAGCTGCAGGCAGCTCTGGARCAGAGGCCGGGCGAGGAGGTGGGAATGGGCCGGTGCCAGCGAGCGCCTCGCCTGCTGAACGCACCCGCCGCAGCAAAACACAGGGAGCTGCTGGCCACGGGCACCACAGCCCAAGGCCAGGAAGAAAGGGGAGTCTTTCACCAAAATCTTCTCCTGCTTCTGTGCAAGCGACAAGGGAAAATCATGCAGATGAATGTGAAGTCACAGGACTGAATTAGAAGGAAGATGGCAAGTGGAAGGAACTTGAGGTAGAGCTTGTTTATTTTAGCCATGCTAGCTTTAAGCAAAAGCAGCCAGATACATTAGAGGCACTGGAATAAGGGAGTGTACAAGACACATCACAGGCTAAAGCAGGATCAAAAAAGCCACTTGAAAAGAGGATATGGACGTAAAAATAAAAGTCCAATGACAAACCAGTAAGAAACTTCCCTAAAATAAAGGGCAGAGGATATCATGAAAAAAAAAAGCTATCAAAAGAAATTCAGGAAATGACAACACTRGAGCATCTTGAAAATACAACAGCACCATCAGTCTAAAGCTTTCAGGAGTCTTATTTGGAGCAGCTTAAACAAGTTAGTTTTTAAAGATGAGTATTTTAGACAAGCAGCTGCTAGTCAAGTCTTAAGGGAATCTCTAGCTGTAAAGAAAATAAGCCCCGTGCCTAGTTCTGCACTAATTTGGTCTGCAGATTTCCTGCTCTTCCCTCCTCCCTCTCCCTYACCAGTAACAACCCTCTAGTTGTAAGTGACTGGGAAACACCCTCAGCCTTTAACTACAAATCTGTGTACTCAACGTTTCCAGCTCTTTCTGAATGATATRTAGACTGCAGTAAAACTACAGCTCTAGCAAAAATAAGATGAATATCATTAAAATGCTTTAACAAGCTCATTAAGTCTTCATATTGAAGTGGCACTTTTCAGCTACGTGGTGCTATTTCAGTTTGATTTTGAAGGATTCAAAGGGGGCTACAAAGCACTAATGTTCGCTGCTAACACAACTATCTTTTTGCCATCAGCAATTAAAGGTAGTTAGCTTGGAAATTATAGGCATTACTCACTTCATCTCAGGGGAAGATGCTGTTGTCAGAAAGGGGCGTTGGAGAAAGGAACGAGGCAGCACACAAAAGAGGAGACCAGAGACATATGGGGCTTTCAAGAGCTTGTGAAACGTTTATCATCACCATAGAGCTGTCGTCACCATACACATTTTGTATAACTCTCCACGTTTMGGGAAGCTTTTTAAAAGGAAGTTGCTACACTAAAGTGGTATTGTAGGTACGTACATGAAAGGGAGAGTGTTTGCAAGTTTTGTGTACTATTAAATACAAGCATTCCAACCGAAAAGTCTGTTCTACCACTAATCTTCAGAGTTCTACTAAGACCTACAGAAAACAGAAATGTGAACCGACTTAGGTACGCCTAAAAAAGTTACAGTTATGAAGTCCATTTTAGGAATACTAAATAATTAGGATACTAAAGGAAATTGATTCAGGAAATTCACACTGAAGCTTTCATGATATCCAAATATTAAGCATGTTTATAAACCAAAAATACCAACCCAATAAACTAGAAATAGGGAGGAAAACAAATCATTATCAGTATTCTTTCAACAGATCTCAGATATTCATTTCACAGTGAGCATGAACTACCCCAAGCCATAGAACAAATACTATCTGATCTTGCTAGTTSTGTCATATGATAAGAAAGGATCACAAAAGTTACCAGTTTACCATGWATGCTTATTTTCATATCATCTTCCTTTTGTGAGGAGTCATTATCTGAATTTGTTCAAACCCCCCAAAGCCACATTCACATTTAATCTGCCAAAAAAAAAATGAAAAATAAGGTTCTTTACTTAGGTTACAAGGCAAAATTGATCAGAATCTGTTCAGTTTCCAAGAGGCTCAAGACTATGTTAATACAATGCCATTTTAGCAGCTGGAAGGGAAAGAGTGCAGTGGAAAGTTCTTCCCCAGCAGAGATATTTATTTAGGGGTAGCTCTGTCCTAAATCATTCACCCTGCATTCCTCCTATTCACTATGGCAAATTCTAGGGTACCAAAAAAGAAAGCTAGTGCTCAAGGGAGATTAGCAAGACGAGATGAAAGACTCATTATAGGTGACAATCAAGAGTTTCACCTTCTGYATCTCAAAGCAACAACTCTGCCAACTAAATGGAAACAGATGACTGGAACAGACACATAAACCATTAAAGAGAGGTATCAATTTAATAAGTGCTGACTGAGAAAGTGCATAATAGTAAAGACACTTGTGTTACATTCTAAGCAAACATGATAACCAAGGAACATCAGACCGTCAAAAAAAAAAAAACTAAAACAAGTACTACTTTGAAGCATTAATCTTAATATAAACAGCCCACCAACATAATTTCACTCTAAATGGGCCAGCACATGATTTTTTTTTTTTTTTTTTTTTGGTTAATGAAGTCAGCCAGCTGTTTGCTATTTCAGCACAACCAAGGAGGCTTTGGTCTGAAGTGAAAGGAAAACATCTGTTGAGTGCCAGGATGTTTTTTGTAGGATGTAACTGCTCAGAAATTTGCTGATCAATGATGTATATAAGGCAGATACACAGCAAGCTCTACGCTCTCCTACACAGGTCACATGCAAGTTTTGAAGCAGAAGCACTGTATGTTCTGCGCTGACACTTGAAGCTGCACAGCAAGCCCAGCAGAGTGGTACAAACGTTAGCCCCAAGCGGGTCACGAGGCAGATTCACAACAGGTCACCTGCTCTGCCATGACTGCCCACACAGGCACTTCAGCCCTGCACTAAGCTCGAGACAGTCACTCCTAAGGCGCAGCAGGGAGTTCCTAAGGAGCACTCCGCGTGCTGCTCCTCACCGCCCAACCTCGCCCGGCCAGTCAGGCCCGGAGCTGCATCCGCGTCCAGCTCCTCGAGGAGCAACCCACACTGCTCCAGGCCCTGCCTTATTATTTCTCATCAATTGAAGAGCTTGCTTTAATTTAAATTTGAAAAAATGAAATGTTGATTTAGCAAACTCTACACAGTACCCTGTCTGTGTACCCACATTTGCAACCTTTGGTATCCTATTAAAGGAAGTCTGAGCACCTTATCTAGCCTTTAGATGCATACAACCAAGAAAATCAATCTAAAATCACTTAAATATTTTTAGCAATTTACATATTTTTTGAAGATGGTCTCATCTGTTAAACTAGTTAGGATGTTAATACATCTCAGACTTGATTAGCTATAATCAAATGAAAATAAACAAACAGTCCCCAAATTCAGTAGTACCACTTCTGTGATAACTACTGCTACTAGAGCAGCTGTACCAAGGTCCTTTCCAATTCAGTAATTTTAGACTGGTTCTATGCTTTTGTTTTTCTTTCCCCAAACTTGTCCTATGTGGACATATTCACAAGCATTAAAAGAATTGAAATCTAAAAAGGGCTCATCAACTGCAGAATGTGGAGATTGTCTAAAAGAAATGAGCTGCAGCACTTTCAGCCACAGCATTTAYTGCTCCATCTTAAATTCATAATCAAATGCCACATGTACCAATCTGCAGAGACCTTTCAGTCTAACCAAATCACATTTATCATTAGCGTTTATCATAAGCTGCTATCAAGTGATTATTAAATTATAGCAAGAAAGGACTTTTTTTTTCTTTTATTAAAATACATGATAGTATTTCCTGACATGCAAGACAACAAGTGATTTTTAACAAGTATTCTCTTCTAGGAGCACACTTTTCTCTCTCAGGTACTGTCCTGTCTGGCACTGAAATCTGGTAGTAGATTCAACAAAAAAACTCAAACAAAGAGATGAAGCCAGGTAACAGACTGCATTTAAGCTCTGCTTTCTTTTGAGAATTAGAATTTGCATAGAAATATGACTGAAGCCACAATGAAGTGTAATTAAGCAGTTRGCAAAACATTTAATCTTGAGACACAGCAGTCACAACGTTGAGATATGTGTTGAGATACATAATCCTCGTGTTTAGAGGTAGGAGAGACCAAGGCAGACAGCCCAAGCTATTTGTCAAATGTGACACCAGCAAGTGCAATGCCACCTCTCCATCACTGTCCAAAGCCACACAAACAAACTCACACAGCATTTAGACCACTAGTGTCACGGTATGTTCTGCAGCAACATTTTAGCTTTCGCTGTCCCACAATCTAGGATTCATTAAAAAAAAAGTCAATAACTATTATTACTAGAAGCTATGGTAATCCCAAGCCCTGTCCTCAYACTCCACGCTTCCTATTTAAATTTAGGATAGCCTGTTCTCCCGAAAGTGTTATAAATCAATAGAGCACAGGGCCTAAGATGGGAAACAGGAGTAGCAGCCTTGCACAAACCTGCCATCTGGAAGATGACGCCCTGCGTTAATTTAGTAAGCTTGGGCTGSATGAGAATAAACTCGCGCTCTCATACTTTTCTAGTGGGTCAGACAGCGTTTCAGCCTTGTSAATTCTCCGGGGAAGCACACATATCCTCCCGGAGCACCTAAACCACTGCCCAGCTTGCAGTCACCTCGGGGCTTTCAGCGGCGCTCACGGCAGCTCCGGAGCGCTGTCCCCGCCGTCCCGTCCCGGGGCCGGTGCCTCCCTCACCGGCGGCTCCGGCCCAGCGCGGGCTGCTTTTGTTCGCGCTTCCCGGAGCTCAGCACGGCGCTAGGAGACCCCCGGCGGCCGCAGCGCTCGCGGCTCCCCCGGGAAGGCTCGGGAAGGCCCGGGAAGGCCGCTTCCGCGGGGAGGAGGCAGCGCTGGGGCGCGGGGCTCGAGCGGGAAGCAAAGCGGGCGCGCAGCACGCGGCGCCGGGAGCAGCTCCGCCCGGGCCCAGCGATTCCCACCAAGCGTCCCGGCGCCGCCCGGCTCCCCGGCCACGCGAGACAAAGCGGCGCAGGCCGCGGCCTCCCTCCTCACCATCCGCTCTCGTCCTCCTCGCAGCCCGCCAGCCGCTCCAGCTCGTCGGGCCGCAGCAGCGGCGCCTCGTCGAGCAGCCCCGCGGCCTCGCCGCCCGCCGCCGCCCTG